AACACGGATCAACGTTGCACAACATAAAAGTGAACTGCAGACTGACGAGTCTTGGCTTCATCGACCGAGAGCTGACCGCACTGGCTGGCGGCACGGCGCTCGAGACCGTTCAACTCAGCATCGACAGGATACCTGCCGTAGAGAGAACCGTCGCGCTTGAAAGCGAGGTAGTGTCCGCGGGCTTCATCGACAGCGATATGGGTAATGTCCCTGGGGAGGACTCCAACGAGCTCGCTGAAAGGCAAGGCAGTGACGCCAGCAAGGGCAGTCAAAAGAGTAATAAACTAGAGTCGATGTCTGTTAGGACATATTTTAATATAGGATGAGTCGGCACTCACGGTGGCGGGCGTGAACATCGTGCAGTGAAGTGCAAAGGAAAGTAAGAAGGAATGAAAAGAGAACGAAGGTTAATGATTCTTTAGACCGCATATCGACCTGCTTTTATACGTGAAGTGCGATGTTTCATGTCTTTATCACTGGGTTTCATGACCTGGGCGAGGTAAGGAGAGGACTTTCGAATTGCACACCGAGCATGTGCTACGTGCGCGCTGGGACGTGATGCGACCTTCTCTGATCGGCAAGAATGGAGAGAGAAAGCTTCAATAAAAACGCACCACATTGACCGGAGATCAGGACATAGAACAAGGAATATTTGCTTCAGCAGCATTGCACCTGGAAACTTGCAACGAATATCGCCTTTGACGCGAGAAGCTCACTAATAACTTTCAGAATGTAATTCGTACTGTATACGGCCCACGGTTACCAGATGGTTACAGTTTCCATGCGGCGCGACGATTGTCACCCTAGATCAACAACTTGCCGATCTAAAAGTCCTATCTCGCGTCGCGAATAGCCACTTATATCGTATTGCCGATCGTGGACGCTCCACAGCGGGAAAAAATAGCCCGAAGATCAAGCGCGACATTTCAAAGAAGAGCAACGTTCCTACGAACACGGATAAGGAAACGATGGAAGTGTTTAATGACGGACATACGGGTGCGTAGGAACCGTGGTTCCAGCGAAACACTACTTATAGATACTTCATACATGGTCGGACTCTGGGATTAGCTGTCAGTCGATGGTAGAAGACTTTCCACAGACAGTCTGGAACGCACGTTCTCCCAATTTCGAACCCGAATTTGAACGTTTCAGCAGAGAGGGCGGTCAAATCTCAGTGGGAACCTTCTGAATGATATACGTGAAGGCTTGGCGTTCCTCCAAATCGAAAGTCAAATTGATTTTGCAGTGTTCGTAGGGATCATAAATGAATTACTGTCCAGACGAAACCAATTGAGTACGTCATTACTGTTTCACGAACGTTTACGTACCATTATTTTGCACTGGCGTTGCCATCGAGGCCAAAAGGAATAAGCAGATAAGCAGGTTACTGAGTAATAGAGGACCTCAGAAACCTATAGACCGCTATATTTTGCGAGGGTACACAACCACTTTACACGATATCCATAGACTTTGGGATGCACCAGGCCAAAGACAGTATTACTGGTAAAATCCGTACAAACAACACAAAAGCCTGAAACCTTTGGGACAGAGCATCTTTGTTCTATTCTGAGAATTGAGAAGACCCGAATCTGTACAAGGCCGAAAAGGAGGAGCGCTGTACTATATAATAGCTGGGAAGGCGCCCAGAGGAAATTTAAAGAGCAGAGAAAGCGTTCGCACCCATAGGAACATAATTTTTCCAACGTTTCGAGTATCGCCGAGAGATTGTTCTGGAACCAACAGAGAGTTGAAAAGGCTCTCTACTGAGGAAAGGGACACGGAAGTCCATTTTCTGCACACCATAATTAAGTAGTGACATGGCTGCAGGTTGCAGGCATTCGAGACCGAATTGAGTGCGAAACGATCAATCTTGGATGGAGAGAAATGGACACCTGGAATTCCGTAACACGTTTTCCAAAGATTAGACTGACCTGAGTAGTTTCTGTAGGAGATGTGCAATCTAAGGATTTCAGCTCTTGGATATCTTGTGTTGAAGAGATTTTGAGAAACTGGCGCAAGACATCGCAGTGATTTGGCGGCCGGCAAAAGCGTGGTAATATTCACACGCCACAGACGTGTTCAGCCATCGTGACGATTTGTCAATTGTGACAGTGTGCTCTCAGTTCACGACTACTACCTCGACCTTTGTTGCCCTCTACCAGCTGGTTATACAGCCCATATAATGCCGGAAATTCTACTCAAAAAAAGCCTGTCAGCAGGTACAGTCCTATATCACCGGATTCCGGGCGTCATTTCGGTTCGGTTACTCATCAAGCCGGGCAACACTTAAATTTGACGTCGTCAAATGTTGACAGCATTCACTTTCCAACTTCCATCATGCAGAACGCTATCGATATGACCAATGCGCGCGAGCGTTCTACCATCAATGTTGCTGCAATGAGGGACATGTTGTATAGTAAGTAACCTCGTTCAGTATTCGGCCTTGGATGCTGATATACGGTGTAGATGGCCGTGAGCGCTGGGAGCAAAAGCAGAGGATTGAAAAGATCCTTTCCAGTGACCCCATCTTTGACAAAATGAACAGGTAGGCTTCACAGAACAGTCTTGTGCTCTACTGAGACGAAATAGACATTTTATCACCCGAATGGAAGCGTACAATCGTGGACAGCGCCTCACAAATCGTATATACCAGCTCGAGCAGGACTTAGGATGGACGAAAGATGACACTACCGTCGCTTTTTCAGTACTAGATGACCGCCTTCCTTCAGGTCTACACAGCGATGGTGCGTCGATGTCTCCTTCGCGATTTCTCCCATATCAATTCATGCATTTCTAGCTTTTGAACCCGTCATTATTGGTCAAGGATCTCCCGTCCTTTTAGAAAAGTACGCAAAACTGGTTGCTACACGTGGCGTCCTCGGATGCTACCTTCAAACAGAGCTCGGCCACGGTTCCAACGTCGTTCAATTAGAAACGACTGCGACTTTTGTTCCGGAGACGCAAGAGTTCGAGATTCACTCACCTACTCTTACGAGTACGAAATGGTGGATCGGGGCACTTGGAAAGACGGCCACTCATGGAGTATTACAAGCGAAGTTGATCCTGCCCGGGGGAAAGGATATGGGCCCCCACCTCTTTTTGGTGCAACTTCGATCCTTGGGTTCGTGTATTCTATCGGTTTATTCTACACACGTCGCTCATTTGGCTCAACAGAGGACCATAAGCTTCTTCCTGGCATCATTGCGGGCGATATAGGTATTTTTTCTCAAAGATTTTTTTTAGTGTTCGTGCTCTTAAGTTTTCTGCTTTTTCAATAGGCCCGAAGGCAATGAACGGATACAATTCTGTTGACAATGGATATGCCCGATTCGACCACTACCGGATACCGAAGGAAAATATGCTCTCCAAGTTTGCTCAGGTTACTGAAGACGGCACTTATGTCAAACCGCCTCATGCGAAACTAAGCTATGGTGGGGTAAGGATCGCCATTTATTAATGTCGCTCTGGAACTGAGATGTCATTGTTAGATGATGTACATACGCTCCGGGTACAGCTTAGCTTTAGATTTTAGCGTTGACCTGACCTCTGTTTGTAGAATGATATCTCATTCAGGTTATGCGGTAGCTCGAGGTGCGTTTGATATGTAGGTTTTCTATGCTTTAGTTGACACCAGAATAGCTATTACCATCGCCGTACGGTATGCTACCGTTCGCCGACAAGGGGACAAGGGGGCTGATGGCCTCGAGCGTCAAGTCATCACGTATCCGTCTGTGTACGGCCGACTACTACCTATCCTTTCACGTGCCCACGTATATGTACTCTTGGGCCGAAACATAGTACGCCGTCGCTTGGGTTACCAGAAAGGTTGCTAATCCACCTACAGTTGAAGTCATTCAACGCCTTCTCACGGCAGCTAGCCTCTGGAGACATGACTACGTTACCAGAAATGCATGCTATCACGAGCGGACTCAAAGTTTTATGCACGGCAATGACTATGGAAGATATTGAATCAGCGAGACGGTCGATGGGAGGGCACGGGTACAGTGCCTTTGCAGGAGTAGGCAAGCTCTATGCGGATTACCTTCCCAGCGTGACGTAGGCTCCTCTTTTCTGTAGGGTATACGGTGTCGCTGATGCATTTACAGGTTTGAAGGGGAGAACTTTGTCCTAGACAAACAGGTCCTGCGAGCAGCGCTTAAATCCTCGAAGAGCAATGTTTCATCGCTTTCACCCTTTTCCCAGTATCTTCGCCTTCTCCATGGAGAGCAGCAACTTCCCGTTGCTTCATGGCAAGACCCAGCTGAAGTTGTGCTGCTACTCGAATGGCGTGCTGCCTCCCTGGTGAGGGATGCGGCGGAGACCGATAATGACTCGGACGCCAGCATCACGCAACGAGTTTCGAAGGCCGTTGCCGAATCATTTGTAGCGACGCAGGTAATGGAGATGATCAGCGCTGCGGAGAGCTCGCTGAGAGCTCAGGATGCTTTGGTGCTGAAAGGACTTTTCTTGCTTGTAAGCAGGTCTCCATCTTTTACTGGATGAGATTGACAGGACTTTCTGCAGTACCTTCTATCGACAGTCGAAGGATCTTTGACAGATTTCTTGACTTTCGACCTTATCAAGGGCAGCCAGGCAAAGAGCCTGCGAAGAGCAATTGCGAAGCTTTGTCAAGAGTTACTCCCGAATGCGATTGGGCTCACGGATGCATTTGGCTTCTCGAATTGGGAGCTCGACAGGTTTGTGTTTGATTTCATCTGGACGACGATGATTAGGACTGATAGTGACATGTGCAGCGCCTTGGGTGTATACGATGGAAGAGTGTATGAGGCACTTTGGGCCCGGGTGCAGACGGAGCCTTTGAATCAGACAGAGGTGCCTGAGGCATACGAGGTAGATGGTTTACGATTCTTTCTTGATGTTTCTTCTGATCTGATGGTTTGGAAGGACTCCATCAAACATATACTTGAAAGGGGAAGGCGGTTAGCGAAACTGTGATGTAAGATCGTAAGTATCCTGCCATGCACGATATCTTGCTTCAAGGGCACATGGTGTAGTTGGTTTATCACGCCCGCTTAGCAAGCTCTTGGCGGTAGATCGTATGCGGGAGGTGTTGGGTTCAATTCCCAATGTGTCCATTATATTTTCTTTTATTTTATACGATATCATTCGACGTTATCAGGATTTAGGATTCAGAGGTTCAGAACTTATCAGTTGCAGAGCCTAGAGGGTTCAGGGCTATACACGGTACATGCTACGTCCCGCGGGTAAATGCGACTTGTTAAACTGTTATGGACTTCATGCAGTACAGTTTGTTCACTTGGAATTTTGCTGCGTTTCATTCTACATTCTTTTTGGTGGTGCGAATAGTAACGCGGTGTGCGGAAGTAGCCGAGACCAGCGTCCCGGTAAGGTATAGGCGTCTCATGACCAAAGACATTGAACCACATCGTCAAGATGTGCAGTCATGGCCACAGCAGCCAGGCTAGTGCGTTCTTAAACTGGTGGCCAGAATATCTATATGAACAAACAGTCAAGTACTGGTACGAAGATTCCCAAGGCCACGACGTACAATCGGGGATGGTAAGCACCCAGACACTGCTCCTATTCTTTACTAAGTGGATAGCGAACAGGTTCTGAAAAAGCACAAAATCGAACCCCGCGCTCTACTTGGTACATACCACTGGGTATGGGGCGGCGGTATCGGAGCAGATGACGAATTGGCTGCAGAGGAGGGTATGGAGGGTTATCTGACCATAACATCGTCGAAGAAATCCAACATCGCATTAAAGGACATCAATGCGACACTTCAAATTGATATCGAGAAAGGTAGTTTTCGAGGATTGAAGCTACAGAATCGGTCTACCCCCCAACTGCTTTACCGTAAGGGAGTCGATCATCGATGATCTTGAGGACACGGGCGATCATTGTATTGCTGTGTCGGAGGAGGTCGACGATCGAGGGAATTCGTATGTTATTTTTGGATATGATTACGGTTCGGGAGGCCATGACGGGGGAGGATTTTATGCATTTGTGGCAAAGAAGAATAGTGCGAGCATGTCAGCAGCCGAGTATCATCGTTTGGGAATCTATGTTGATGCTCAAGACATGGAAGACGAAGCACTTGGTGTCGAGGAAGAGGATGTGGATGAAACAAAGTCGGAAACTGGATCGGAATGTCACTAAACAGTTGTCTCAATGTATACCATTTATTTATGATTGATATAACTTCGTACTGGATGGTCGGAGTTTTCAAGTAGCTAAGACCTGGGGTTTGGACAAAGAATGCAAACCAAACAAGGGAATATTCAGTAGCGGGGCGTATGTTCTAACTGGCCTCACTAAGCCTTAAACAAGGACTCGATGTTTTCTCTGAATGTCTTTGATATTCCGTATACACAGTTACTTATCTGAAAGCACCAGAAACACACAACACATTCTAGACAAAGCTGTACTACTAGAACCTTCTTCGTAGCTTTCATTACTACATACATATCGCTCTAGCTATGAATCATTATTCATCTTCCGATCTATCAACTCTACCTCGTGTGAAATCTGAGTGTCTTAGTGCGTAGTTACGCTTAGTGTTCGTCAATATTATTTCCACCTTGAAATCCTTCATCGGTAAAAAACCTCAACTATATTTCAAGCACGTCGAAGTATGAGTCACTACACTACTCATATTTATAATAGTGTGCGTGTTACTTAGTGTGCAGTGTTGTGCGTAGCAGGATAAATAATGACCGTCAACACCAGAAAGATAACGAAAAAAGACAGAAATTTTGGCGTTCCATTTGAGCTCCATGGTCGCCGATTTAGACATTAAATTCAAGCACAGTTGCCAGCATAGCTGGTTTCGGTGTTCGAAGCCATAGAGCCCTTGAATGTGGCAAAGCTGGAGCGGTCATCCTGGTTCGTGACGACAGAGTCAATGTTGACGGCCCCTGGAAGCATGTGTAGGTCAGCTCATACAGAATAAGGGGAAACACCACGAACATTTGTAGTGTCCCTCTGTCTTATCATCATAGTTGAACCAAATCCAGCCCGTAGCGAGATAGCGGATTTTTCCAGTCGCTTGAATGTTGCAGGTCTTGGTACTAGTCTGAGATGATAGTCAATCAACTGGAAATCGCGAGCCACAAAAAGCTAACCGTAGCGGTACAAGTCTTGCCCTCGGGGGCAGTCATCTTTACGGTGACCTTGCTCATGTCGCTGTAGGAGACGTCGAAGCTATTGTTTCGTCTAAGCATACGCGCTGCAGCCTCTAAAAAAGGACAACATACGTGCTTGAAGTGGTATCCGTAACTTCGGTGGAGATAGTGAACGCCTCAGTGACATCGGCTACCTCTGGAATGCCCACTTTGACCGACAAAGTGTTAGAAACACCGATCGTCGATGCCGCTGGATATCAGATTGGATCAACAAAAGAGATACTTGGGGAGATAGTATCCGAAGACATACAGCTAACGGTGTAAGAGGTATCGGTGTTGAAGCCTTGGTCCACTTCGATATCAACTTCGCCGGTCGTGCCAACCAGGGTACCTTCAGAGGAGGTCGTGTGCGTCTGGCAAATCGGGTCACCTGTCTTCGTGTTAAAACGAAATCGTAAGCACCATAACTGTGAACGGACCGGAGAAGCTGAGTTGGACAACATCGTCAGTGATGCAAACTTGTGCAGGACTGTCGACATACTAAACAAAAAGAATATAAGATCATTGTTTTTTGAGCAAAAATTCACTCTTACATCTTCGGGGTTCGTGACTATGTTGCGAGAGCCATCGCCCCAGTTGTCATTAGCGTATTGCTCAATAGCATCCCACCCAGATACTGATCGTGGATCGCTTAGCATCGGATAGATGAAGCATAGAAAATAATTTACTAGTTTTGGCTTCGTCGACGGAAAGCTGCGCACATTGGCTAGCAGCACGGCGATCGACGTTGTTCGACTGGGAATCTACAGGATATCTCCCATAGAGAGAGCCGTCTCGCTTGAAGGCGAGGTAGTGGCCTCTTGCCTCGTCGACAGCAATGTGGGCGATATCTCTAGGAAGGGACCGGACGATCTCGCTGAAAGGCAAGGCAGCGGCGCCAGAGAGGGCAGTCAAACACACAATCCACTAAAATTGTATGAATAAACTCCACAATAAAAGATAAGCTGGTACTCACAGAAGTGGTACCGAACATCGTTTGAGGAGATGGAAAAAACAGTAGAAAGGAACGAGGGGAATTTCGCTCAATCAAAGGAAGCGAGAATCGAAAAGAGAGAGTGAATGAGGGTTGATGATTCTCTCTAACATGCTTTTATACAAGATGCTACGTTTCATAATATCAATAATGGTTACATGCTAGCAATTTACTCACTAGGCCATATGCCTCGGATCAACGTGCGCATCTGTACAGTGCATGGAGTTTGGATTGTCAGGATGCGTTTGTGATTGCCATCAGACTCAAGGCGGTTCACTGAGAAGGAATACTGCACCGCCCATCGTGTGGATCTATGATGCGCTGTACGAAAATCATCCGCAGACGTACTAGTCTCGAGCGCCGAGTGCGGTAACGGTCACCACCATTGCATCACAACAATGTTCTAGCCGCCAGTGATGCATGCATGGAAAAGTCAAATCATCCATAGTCTTTTTTTATGGACACACAATAGAGGACTAACGTTAAAGACGGAAAAGGTCTTCCAACAGGAAATTGCTTCATCCGGGGTAAGAGCCTAAGAAATGTCTTCAATTATGAAGAGGCACCTGGAAAAAGTTACGTTTTCGTCAACAGCAAATCAGCCTGTAGCCAGGCTTGGGATGCTTGGCGTTGTTACAGCAGTATCAACGGGGATTAGATTGCACAGAATATCATGGTTTCAATGATAATTGATTGAGCCTATCTCGCCGAAACAAGTTTGAACAGATACACCGTCAATACAGCAGCGCACACCACATGCATTCCATGGAATGTAGCGCACCTTTCTGATCGTACTTGTCGACTTCGAAATTGTTTGTTGGAGATTGGATCACTCCGCTTCTCCCGACGTCGCTGGTTGTCAAGGAGAAGAGTAGCCGGTGCCGTGAAGTAGCCGATTTCTCACGCCACAGACGCGTTGAGTGCATACCGTCGTCGTCAAATAAATGGCAGAAAACTAATCGGTATTTTATGTATGGGCTTTATTTTTACTAGTTTCATTTCCCTGATTTGCCTTTCGTTGCCTTTGAAGATGTCAGACTCAAAGAAAGCGGACATCATGGTTCGGTCCGACCACGTAGTGCCAACTCGTAGCAACTGACTCAGAATGCAGCCGGGCCCTGTATCGAGGACCATTCGCTATTTATTCTAGCCACATCCGTAGTTCGTTCCATTTTTGTCCGGTGGCCAGTTTTCCGAAGGACGTTGGTGAATATATGAGGATGCATACTGACAACAAGGGAGATCGTATCGCCAACGGTACATCGTATTTGTCCTTCCATCAACCTTCCTAGCAGATGAAGTTTTAGTGACACTTCGCTTTTAGTCTGGATGTCATTCCAGGTCGAGTTTTTAAAACCTCCTGCCGCCGCCGGTCTGTGTTGGTATTTCTCTTGCTGTCGATACTAGGTCAACGAACCAGAAAACTGACGGCATTCTTTGCAGTAGTTCAAAGTCTCGCACCGCCGCGATGGATTAATTACTATGAATATTTGTGTGGTAGTTCTAGTGTAAAGTTGTAAGTCCATGATAAATGTACAACCTCGAATCCAAGTATGTACAACCCAATGAATAAGACAACCCATCAGAACATCGTTCCCACAACGATCCCCAGCAGCAGCACGAAGCCCAGCCCAGCCCTCCCCACCTTCCACCTTTCAGCCCCGTTCTTCTTTGCCGACCCTTTACTCGTGCTCCCATACGCCCCCATGGCCGCGTAATGATGCCCGTTACTTGTAGCCAAAACACCTCCAGCCACCGTCGCTGTATTCACCGTTCTCGTCTGCACCGACGTCGGGAACGTCTGCGTCTCCACGTCTACCACCGCATCACTGCCAAGAAATATCAGAGCAAAGCCCGGAGCAGGTACACTGATTTGACACGATCCGTCACAAGAAATGGTATAGACTTCCTCATCACCCATTAGCCGCCCATCAGAAGCAAAGTGGTCCCCAAA